AGAGTGCCCACCATGCACTTGCACTGCACTATTACTTATAGTAGAATACATAGAATGATAGACAAATGGATGAAAATTATATATACATGTAACTGTAATATACAAATATGAATATAATATATAACAACAAACCAGAGTATACTGATTTGTATCACTACAATATAATAGTTATTACGATGAGGTTGAACTCCCTGACATTTATTTGTCATCCACGCACGAACTTGTCTCAGAAAAAAAATATATCTGTACATTAACCTCACTTTCAGGAATAGAGATGTGATTTGTTTTTCTGAGACAACGGTGCTTTGTGACCATCCACAAGAACTTGCAGTCATCCGATGTTCAGTACTTCAAAAGTACGCAAAAATCTGACTTAAATATGTTTTAATCTTATCAAAATAGATCTTAATCGTGTTTATTATTGATGTTCTGACTCATAATCCTACAAACTTTGAATTCATTTAAACACTTACAACTGTATTTTCCTTTGTGAACTGAAAATTCGACATTTTTTTTTAAAGGATCCATATATTATAATGACGAAAAAACATAGGAGCAAGAAAACAAAGGAAAAGAAGTTAAAAAATCAGAAAAATTCGATATAAACCCAAATATTCTACTAAAAGAGCCCCCCCCCCCCCCCCCAATGATGTATAAGAACCGAAACATTTGAAGAGCTATATGACCAAAAGAATCTAAAAAAATAGCCAAAACAATCTTAGGTGAACTTTTCCTGTAGTAGTTAAAACCTTGGTTTCTTTATAATTTTTAAATTGATAAACGGATGATTTTATATAATTGACTGTTGGTAGCTTAACGTCCAGTGGCAAATATTGCATGTTCAGAACGAGAACAAATTTAAAATAATCAAACCAATAGGTAGGTCCTATAACAGAAGACTTTCGGAATGAAGATCGGGAAATTGACTGTCACTGAAAATGAGGGTATATTGGATACGAACAGAAATTTTGCCTTGCAACCGACCACCTACGGATCCCTCAAAGAGCTCTTGTAAGGGTCCTTAAAGTGCAGTTAGCGTGGCACTCTTTCTACACACCCCATACTGACTGGACGTGGCTACGTACTTGAACATCCCGCACAGCCAAACGGACGCCCCACTTTGGCAAGGGTTTTACTGTCGGTCGGAAGAGAACCTATTTTGGAAAGGTTTGTTATAAATCATGTCAGTACCGAAGTACTGACTATTGTGCTGATGATAAACTCGGGGTCTTGTCCAATGTATTTAATAAACAACGAAATAAAAAATAAGTAAGCTTTAATACGATCCTTTTGAAATAATAAAATATGCTTGGACATTTTTCATGTTTCCGGCAAGAAAATATAATGAACTAGGAATAAAGTAAATAAACTTTTTAAAGTATAAATATTTTCCCTCTCAGCTAGTTCAATGTCACGATATAAATACACAAACCCGATATATGCTTACCTTGAATATACTTGGACATTTTTCAGACCGTTTTCAAACATGAAATTTTCCGGTTGACGGTTTCAGTGATATTGATTTTGCTTTAACATGCAAATAACTATAACAAAAGCAATATTTTTGTCAAGTTTTACGATGATCGGAGAAAAAATACGAAATGAAAGACACGGAACCTTGATTTTTTTTACACAAAATGTAACGTTGCACCTTACGTTTTTGGGTAAACATGAGATAATTAAGTTTTGTTTTTTTTTGGTCTTTTAAATTTCGGTTCCTATTTTACTTTATTTTTAAGCCTATTTAACTCATATCAACCAAAAATCACTAAATTTTTATCGAGCTAACCAGTCTACGCATTTATCTTTATGATAGTCTATAGCCAACTGGAATTCGTACCAACATCGTGCGCATCGTCACAACATTATCAAACTGGTTTAATGCATTGTTTCGTGCCTTAAACAGTACTTTATTATTTGAACCTTTCGATTGATATTAAATGTAAATGCACTGACATATTGCATTTTAAGCCATAGGATTTTTTTTTCACTCGGTAAAACAAGGACGCACTCGAAAAAACATGGACTGCTCTAAAAAAAACGGACATATAAAAATGAATTTACTCTCCAAAATGTCTTTTCAATGCAAACACAAGAATGTTTGTAATGTGTCTGTATGTCTAAGTATATATAGATTCCATGTATGCATTTCCGTTGACATTTGCATTGGTATGTGCATAAAAATGGCTTTAATCTATATTTTGGAATTAAGCATAGTAAGGCTAAATTAAACGTTTCTAAAACAAAATAATGTAGCAAGGGTTGATAACATCTTTTTATCACAAATACTTATTTACCTTCTTTGATCTTGTATATAAGGTTCTAGCATCTTTTTTTTTTACGTCTTACCAGAAAGCAAGTCTGTTTGTTTACATTTTTGATCATATTCACTAGAAAAAAAGTGAATACACTCGATAAAACCCGCACAAATCACTCGAAAAACACTATCCCAGCCGGACACTATACCTACTGTGAAGATATTAATGTGGGTAAACTATTTTTTGGGAAATGGTGTTTGCCCATATTTGTAACGTTCTTACACAATGCGCAATACACTAAAGTAACCTTGAATATTTGCAATACACAAACAAATAAACTTATAATTATCTGATATTAATTTAACTTGTATCTGGTCTATTCAGTTCCTTTCGTTTGTTAACATATAAAGTACAATTGAATTATTATCTACTGGATCGATTGTAAAACATAAACATTTCCTCTTTACAGGAAAATGAATCTTTCATTTGGGAAGGAAATGCGTGAAAAAGCCTTTACTTTAAAAGAAGGTATAACATTTGTGAACCATGGAGCATTTGGTGCTGTGCCGAAACAAGTTCAGGATGCTCAAAGGAGGTGACTTTTTACAGAGTTTCTTTGGCCTGAAATTAGCAAAAATTTAAGCTTGTTAAATACTTTCTGTCCACGAATTACAAAATATGGAATACTTCATTATCATAATAATTTGCACATCTACAAATATCTGAATGTGATTGATCCATTATAATTTTTTTTCCTTGGTGTACACTTCCATAGACCATGTTGTCAAAATTACTAAGTTGATTTCACTATGATGTACATGAATGGAATCCTGGGTTTTCATGAAAGATGAAATTGAAAGAAAAAAAAAACGTTAATAATCCGTGAACTTGGTTTCCTATCCGTGATCTCAGATTAACAAGCCAGATCTTGAGATCACGGATTGGAAACCGAGATCAAGGATTATTAATCCGAGATCACAGTTTCCAAATCTGAGACTATATATTATTGATCCGAAATCACGAATTGGATATCCGAGATTAAGGATTGAGAACCCAAAATCACGGAGTGGGAAATTGAGATCACGGATTGATCATCCGAGACCACATATTGGAAAATCGGGACCACAGATTGGGAAACCGAGATCACGGATTGATAATCCGAGACCACAGATTGGAAAACCCAGAAACCGAGACCACAGATTGGGAAACCGAGATCATGAATTGATAATCAGAGACCACGAATTGGGAAACCAAGATCCCGGATTTGGAAATCAGAGATCTGGGATAAATTTCATTTTTTAAGTGTGTCTTTATGGCTTCCGTAAATAACACATCCATGAGTAACTTTTATCGGGTTCTTGGAATCTCTAGTTTAGTTTGAATCACTTTAAGGGTACACATGACCATACGTTTTTATCGAGTTTCAGGCTTATGGATGAAATGTATGATTTACCTGATTTGTGGGGTAATAAAACAGAGTTCATGAAACTTAGAGAGGCGACAACGGCATTAGCTGGATTCGTCAAAGCAGATGCAGAAGATTTTGTTTTTGTACAGAACACAACTACAGGTACATATGCACATACATGTATATCCTTTTGAACAAGTTCTTATTCTATAGGAAAGACTCGTTTTTCTCTTTATTTTATCCCTCCATTATTTGTTTGACTTCATTTGAATTCCTGTGAAAGATTTCAATGTTTTCTGTTTTTCACTTTACAAAAAATAAAGGTTCACATTGTCGTTCGATGATGATATTTTACGATATCAAGATGTAGAAAATCCGATAACATATATATATCAAAGGTAGCACAAAGACACTGATTAAATAACAAAATGTATTCTATGATTAGAAAGTGAATTGATGCATGAGGACTTCAATGAAAAAGCACTAAAGAAGAGACAGCTAGCCAACGACACAACATTAAATCCATCAGACTTCTAGAGGTTTTACAAACAGTAGTTTTAAATTAACGTGTGTCAATACAATTTATTTAAGGGCAGAGTCAAAAATAAGAGTCGAGAATAAATTCAACGGTAAGGGTATAAACAAAACTGCCTTCAACACCAAATGTTTCAAAATAAAAAAAGGACAAAAGGCAATCACTGATGAGGTTCCTGATGTCGGACACATATCATCGGAATTTATATATCCATATAGATATCGTTAAATAACAGTCGTTACACACAATTTGAAGCTTTCGTGACTTGCAGCTGATATTTTAAGATTTCATTATGTAAAAAAAAAAACGATCATCTCAATTCACAACAACTTTAGAAATAGTAGAGGAATACATTATCTTATGCAATGCTCTTTTACACGTGTTTTAATATATACAAGATTACACATAAGGAATGAAAGCATTGATCATTTTAAGGACAGCATATTTTTTTTAATTAGGTGTCAACACTGTTCTGAAGTCGTTAAGACTGAAACCAGATGACATTATTGTGTAAACTGATATGGCGTACCGTGCAATACAATACACGTGAGAAGAGCTTGTTAAACATTCAGAATGTAAAGCTAAAGTATTTGTTACACGATCAAAGATCATACACAAGTGCAATACAATACACGTGTGAAGAGCTTGTTAAACATTCAGAATGTAAAGGTATAGTATTCGTTACACGATCAAAGAGCATACACATGTGCAATACAATACACGTGTGAAGAGCTTGTTAAACATTCAGAATGTAAAGCTAAAGTATTTGTTACACGATCAAACATCATACACATGTGCAATACAATACACGTGTGAAGAGCTTGTTAAACATTCAGAATGTAAAGGTATAGTATTCGTTACACGATCAAACATTATACACATGTGCAATACAATACACGTGTGAAGAGCTTGTTAAACATTCAGAATGTAAAGGTATAGTACTCGTTACACGATCAAACATCATACACATGCGCAATACAATACACGCGTGAAGAGCTTGTTAAACATTCAGAATGTAAAGGTATAGTATTCGTTACACGATCAAAGATCATACACATGTGCAATACAATACACGTGTGAAGAGCTTGTTAAACATTCAGAATGTAAAGGTAAAGTATTCGTTACACGATCAAACATCATACACATGTGCAATACAATACACGCGTGAAGAGCTTGTTTAACATTCAGAATGTAAAGGTAAAGTATTTGTTGCACGGTCTAAGAACATACACATTGAGATAAGATAGAACAAAAATAAAAGAAAGCTAACTTCAATCTTTCGCTTAAAGAAACATTACGTAAAATTCGTAAATATTTGCTAAGCTGCTGTTTTTCGTAGATTAGGTTGTCTCCGTTGAGTGTCATGGTTTTCGCATTTTTTTAGTGTTCTTTCACATATTTATTTATTTATCTTATTAAAAAACTACGAAACGTTTTATAGTCGTTACTACTCTTACTAAACAAAATTGCAAGACTTTAGTGTTTAAATTTATTGCTGCCGATAGGGTCAAAACGAAAGTATTTTATTAATTAGAATAACAAATCAAAACAAAAGACCCTAGAACAAGCTTAATTTTGGTGAGATGATGCACACGTCAGTCGATCGACATAATTTGAATCGTTCTTTAATCGCGGCTCCGTGAGTAACATTGGCTTTCTTACTGGTGTAACAAAACTATTAAAAAAAGCGTTTCTGGTTTCTCGTTTTTTATAGTAATTTGTGTACGTTATTTTATTTAACGCCATTTTGTCCCTGATTAGAGTTGTCTTTTTGACATTGTTTTACGTCCCGTTTTGTTATTAATATTGTATTTATATATTGTGTCATAGATCAAATTTATTCGTTCAGTGTATGTTTACTTGTTTTTGTTAATATGTCTAAGCCATTTCAATTGATATTTTATAGTGTGTCTTTCTATGTTGTAATATTACACTACTGTTTCAGTTTAGGGTGAAGGTTGGCGCCTGTTAAAACGTTTAAACCCGCTGCATTTGTTTACACCTGTCCTAAGTCAGGAGCTTGTTGTTCAGTGATTGTCGTTTGTTGATGTGGTTCATAAGTGTTTCTCGTTTCTCGTTATTTATATAGATTAGACAGTTGGTTTTCCTATTTGAATTGTTTTACACTAGTCATTTTGGGGCCCTTTATAGCTTGCTGTTCGGTGTGAGCCAAGGCTCCGTGTTGAAGGCCGTACTTTGACCTAAAATTGTTTACTTTTTACACATTGTGACTTGAATGGAGAGTTGTCTCATTGGCACTCATACCACATCTTCTTATTTCTATCTAAAGACAGTTATAAATATTCATTTTATCCGCGTACAGTTATAGATTAGAATCAGTTGCCACAACACATAGTTTCATGCAGTACAGTACAGGGATTCAAGAATATGATCTCATAATCTGCTCTAATCCCTATGTTCAACCCTTAACTATTATTGTTATCAAATGTATATAGTTTTATCTAAATGTTATTTTTCAAATGTACATATATTATTTTGATTTTTGATTTTGTTTCTTTTTTCTGGTTATCTTGTTAATTATAAATCAAATTTTATAGTCGACGCCCTACGAATAATCTTCAATAAATGAAGGATCGCTAGAAACTTTAAGAAGAAGAGGCTTAGAGGATGATAGAGCAGATTGTTACCCTTCGAAAAAACATTGTGAAACTTAGCTTCACCTCGGTTGACAATTTTTTCTCGGGGTAATAATCTGCTCTATCACCTTCTCAGCTCTGTGTTATTTGAATACTCTTAGTATTATCCAATTGTAATTAAATACATAGTAAATAATTTCATTTGCAGGTGTCAAAACATATGCTCTTTCATTTGAGTTCCCTATTAAAAGCGAGGACGACGTTATTGAAGCTTTTAGAAGTTATTTCAGCAAGAACAAAAATGTAAGAATTGCTATAATAGGTAAGAACATCATAGGATAATTTCTGTATTGCTTCAACAAATACAATTTAGTTTAAGACGAAGAGAAGATACAAAAGATGTCTTCTCATAAATATTTCACATGGTTAAAAACGATATATGTATATAAATAAGAAAACGGATAATTATGAATGAACAGAGATGTTGAGTATAGTTTAGTCAATGAGACATCAACCCAAAGAAGCAAATAACAATTAATTAATCCTGAAGTGATCAACTTATCTCACATTCTTCAACAATATAGACACATGTCGTCATATGACATTATTATGTTTCTAATATGCATTTGATATTTGCCACTGGACGTTAAACACCGATCCAGTCATCCATCTATCTAATGTATTGAATGAATTTTTAGTTCAAGTATTTTAAATTACCTTGGTGATTACAATATTTGACATTTTTCTATTTGTTTCATACTGAGATAGAACATATTTCAAGTCCTCTTTCTGTAAGAATGCCAATAGAGAAATTGATTCCACTTTGCAAGGAATATGGAGTTCTCAGTCTGATAGACGGTGCTCATGCACTAGGGCAAATTCCACTGAATCTTCGAGAGCTTAACGCTGACTTTTATACAGGTAAATAATAAAGTTTTATTTAGAAGTAGATACGAAAAATCCAATGATGTTTTCTTTAATTTCCTGAATGGTTGAATTAAAAAAAAAAAAACACAAAAAAAACCAGGAATTTTGATTTACACAATAGGGAAGTTGGCGAAACCAAATCACAACTGTCTTGTGTAAAATAACATTAACATTGTTTTACTGATACTTGTTTTTTTATTAAGAACATGTGCATTATTGAACTTAAAAAATCGAATTATTAAAAAAAATCCCAGCACCCTATTTGTTCACATGATCAAGAATTTTAAGTGATATTTAATTTGGTACAATAAATGTTAGTTGAATAAGAATGATGAAAGTTATAATATCCATCAGACATCAGTTTTCAAAAAGGAGGGTGTAAAAACTATAATTTTTAAATTTGAAATAATATTGAAAATTGTAAAAAATAGATTGTCCTAACATAGAATGCAAAACCTTATAGGGCAAACTTATCACACAAAGAACGATCATATACTACAAAATGTAACAACAAAGACAGAAGTACGAAATTGAAGGTTAAAGTAAAAAAAAAAATGATAAAAAAGACTAATTAAAATGAGCTCTTCATCTTTTTTTTTATAGGAAATCTCCATAAATGGTTTTATTGCCCACGAGGATGTGCATTCCTCAATATGAAGAAAATTCACAAGGATTGGGTTAAACCGCTCGTAACATCATTTCGTCATTATGAGGGGTTTCACAATATGTTCCATACACAGGGCACACGTGATACAAGTGTCTTCTGCGTTGTACCGGAAGCTATTAAATTCTATTCCGATATTGGTGGCTATGTAAGTATGGATTGCTTAACATTTTGATGCAAAGTTTTCCCTTCAGTTTGCTTTTTTTATTAATTAGATTGTTACCGTATTAAACTAGGAAAGGTTAATGTCTCGAAATCGTTTTTACACAGTAATGAAGAATTACTTTATTGGATTATTACTGTCATACCATGCTCGTGTTTATTTTCAAAGGGTATAATGCATTTGAATATAAGTAGATGAGGATGGACAATAATTTGACAGCAACCCAAAGACAAAAGTAGTCAAAGCAATCCAGAGATCAACATACAGTCTTCACCAATAAACATGTGTCTTAGCAATATATCAAGCTCTAGATTTTCCATTGACTATACAAGTTGTGAATAAATTGAAATTTTAAATAACCCACTACGCGGATTATTCAGTCTGCAGGTCATTTTTGATGTTATTTTTTCATAGACAGAAAAAAATATTACAGTCATTTCTTAAATATACCCCAAGTCGGGGACTTACATCGTCTCGTCAATAGTTATTTTGTGTCATTTTGAAAATGAAGTAACTTATTGCAAAGAGAGGTGTTCAACAGTACCTTTCTTGTTCTATTGAGTTTATAAGTATTTATCTTGATGTTATTGCCTATTTTAAAGGAGAAGATACACAACTATGTAGCCCCATTAATAGAGCAAGCAGCATGTATGTTAACAATCTAATTAAAATATAGATCTCGGATTTCGTTATACTACGTTATACTACATACGAAGATCTAACAACTACCCGTATAAGGTTTCACTTCTGAAGGATTTTGCATGTGACTTTTTCAACCAATCAGAATTCTAGTTAACCAATCTGAACAGCGCACGCGGAACATATTTACTTGAATGAGGTTCATTGAAAGGTCCCGAGGGTATCCAAAAATAAAAGCAATGGGACTTAAAATTTATCGCTTCGATTGTTAATCGTTTGGAAATAGTTTTTAAATCTCTTTCGTCGTCATATTGTAACTATAGCCATGAATATTTGAAATATGTGACGTTTGTCAAAGTTTTCAGATGTGCCTCATATGCTTTATGACTTGAGGTCGGATCGTAATCGTGGAAATTAAAGAGTACAGTAAACACTGTTAAACTGTACACTATAGCACTGCCAGTGGCGGATCCAGGGGGGGGTGGCTTCCGGGGGTTGGAACCTCCCTTTTTTTTGACGATCAATGCATTTGAATGGGGACATATAGTTGGAACCCCCCCTCTTTATCCTGGGTTAGGAACCCCTCCCCCCTTTTATAAATGGCTGGATCCGCCCCTGACTGCTTCCCTCTGCCAGACGTGGATCAAGGATTTTGATAAGGGGGTGCAAACTATGCATAGTTTGAATGGGACATGTAAAAAGTAAGCATTGATAAACCATACATATATATGTTTAGCGCCACAAGCACCCCCCTCGGCTTGCATACAAGAAAAAAAAAACTGTCCTCTATTAGCTGCTCTGGTGAAGTTTTTTTTAGCTCAGTTGGTCGAGTCTACTAGAGAGGTGCCTTACTGTACGAATTTTTGTGAACTGTCAGGGTGGGGGCTCTTTTATTTTGTATCTAGTAAGAAAAAAAATCTTAGGTAGTAGGCTATATATTTAAATACATGTGTATTTCCTATACAATTCCCATGCTGTAGCAGATACATATATACATGTACAAAAAACCAATCCTAGTCTATCATTGACATAATAATTGATAAATAAAATTCGAACTTGATCTGTAACTTGTCATGATAAAACAATACACCAAAAACCAAATCAATATCTTCAAGCACAAAGAAGAAAAGTGTGGAAAACTGATTTGCCAGACTGATGGATGGACAGACAGACAGACGGACGGAGTGCAAACCTAAAGTCCCCTTCGACTTTGACGGTAGGGGACTAATAACCAGGCATTTTGTAATATCAATATATGATTTAGATAGCTGCGAATTTAGCTCGAACTGAAAATTCTTGCTTTTTTACCTTTTAAATAATTTCTTACATTTACAGTTACCAATAAACCTGACTTCCAAATAACCTTGCATTTTGTAAGATCAATATATGATTGAGATAGCTGTAGAGTTTTATTAAAATCCAAGTTAATTTGAAAAAAGTTATATAGGGAGCTTCCATTTGACTTTTAGGGGGGGGCTAGGATGAAATTTGAAAAAAATAGGCAGGACAGGAGTTTTGAGTAAAAAAAAGGCAGGATGAGACACTTGCAAAAAAAAAGTCAAGCCACACTTAAAAATATTTTGGTTTGCCCAAACCCTACCCAAAGGTAGAGACAGTGGGTAGGTAGGTAGGCATTTTCTTTTTTTTCTCTAAAGAGTAATTGAAGTGTCAGATGATTTTTAGTCTTCATGCCTATCTGATTAAAAAAAAAACTTTTTCACATCAGGACAATAAAAGATTTTGAGTAGGCAGCTATTATATTGGTAGATAGGGTTAGGGCAAACAAACATATTCTTTTTGATGGCCTCAGGATGACAATTTAGGTAAAAAAAAAAAATCAGGATAAACTTAAAAAAAAGGCAGGACCGAATAGAGTGAAAAATAAAGAGGCAGGACAGATATTACAACTAAAAAAAATGCAGGACAAAATTTTTCATCCTAGCCCCCACCCCCCCATAAAAATCAAATGGTAGCTCCCTTAGTCCAAAATGAAAATTCTAGCTTTTTTTACCTTTTAATCAAATTTTTAAATTTGAAAGCAATAAACTAAATTATCAATAACCTGTCATTTTTTAAGATCAATATATACTTGACATAGAAGGGCTGCAGAAGTCATATGCAGAATATAGTGGCCCTATTGCTTCAAAGTGTCTGCAAAATAGACCAAAATCACAAATAATAAATCATGAAAAAGGTCAAGGTCAGAAAAAAATGCCTGTGTTGGACATGTTCACCTTAAAATCATTCCATACACCAAATGTAGAGGCCTTATTGCTAGTTTGAGAAATAGACTTAACCACAACTACTAAAGAATGAACCATGAAAAAGAGGTCAAGGTTCGATAAAAACTGCTAGTCCAAAATGCACATGTACATCTAACAATTATTCTATACACCAAATATTGCTTATAGAATCTGAGATAATACATTTGTAAAGTGAAAATTTCAAATGAGAAAAAAAGCATAATTTTTAATCAAGCAGTCACTGAACCATAAAAATTAGGTCAAGGACAATGGACATTTGTTGGACAGAAACTTAGTGACTACACATATAAGGTACACAAAAATGTATCTGTGTACAAGGTATAAAACATCCAGGTCATCTATCTTCTGAAATATCAAACTTTATTCAAATAGTTTATGCTGCTGCACAATTATGCTGATTGTAATCCCTAAGTGTCACATTTTGCAACAATGGTCTCAGGTGACACAAAAACTATTTCATTAAATTCAATCACATTTCATGTGCCTCTACCAAGTATAAACCCTGTTGTATACTTGTAGTACATGTTGCATGGCCTATAGTTTTTATTTTTTTATTTTCAGAATTGTGTATTAAATGCATATGACAGATCTATATAAAATAGATGTGGTACATTTTTGTACATGCAGTGATGTGATGTACATGTACATGAATGATTATCACAGACACAATGAACAAGATATTTCTGCTTAATTTATTCACTACTTTTATAGACACATTAAAGAGTAGAGCTTGACATATTGCATAGACAATTGCCTTTCCTTCTATTGAAGCCTTATATATACATGTAGGTTTCATTATAGATGTCATTTAGTTATTTTTTGCTATTTTAGTTGCTGTCGGTCTATAACAAAGCAGGGTTATTATTCACATCACATAAACATATTCTTGTCCTGAATATGCATATTAATTTGCCACTGGACTGTAAGCAGCTATCCATCATCATTAACATATATATAAACGTTTCATGTATAGTATCTCTTCTTGTTCATATGTAAACTTTGACCTACTGCTTTATATACATTGGTTAGAATCTGAGAAATGGAATTAACCACAATATATATTAATTTGCACAAAAAAATAACCTTAATCACTGATGGGTAAAATGAGGTTGGGGTCACATGAACACCGTCTTTTGTTTGATTTTATTTTTACCTAATGTATATACCATAATTTTTTATTTAGATATCTGTAGACTTATAAGTTGAAACAAGAGTGCACACGCTGAAATGTCTCGCCTACTATACTGACCATTGATTTTATGTTGATAGTCCTACTTATAAAGTTTTACTACAAGTATCACATTAACATTTATGATCCAAGAAAACGAGGTCAAGGTCAGATAAACCAAGGCGGAAATACATGTACACCTTTAATACAATCATTCCATACACAGAATATAGATGACCTATTGCTTGTAGTATAAAACAAACAGACCAAACCATGGAAATTCCATATGGACCAATGAACCATGAAAATGAAGTCAAGGTCAGATGATACCTACCAGACATACATACATGCATACACCTTACAATCATTCCTTACACCAAATATAGTTGACATATTGCTTAAAGTTTAAGAGAAACAGACCAAAACACAAAAGCTTAACATTGAGCAATGAACCGTGAAAATTAGGTCAAGGTCAAATAATACATGTACCTGCCAGACTGATTGCCAGACTGATATGTACATTGTAAAATATTTCCATACACCAAATATAGTTGACCTACTGCATACAGTATTAGAAAAACAGACCAAAACACAAAAACTAAACTAGTACCACTGAACCATGAAAATGAGGTCAAGGTCAGATGACACCTGCCAGCTGGACATGTACACCTTACAATCATTACATACACGTACGCCAAATATAGTAGACCTATTGCTTATAGTATCTGAGATATGGACTTGACCATGAAAACTTAACCTTATTCACTGATCCATGAAACGAGGTCGAGGTCAAATGAAAACTGTCTGACAGGCATTAGGACCTTGCAAGGTACGCACATACCAAATATAGTTATCCAATTACTCATAAGAGAGAAATTAACATTACAAAAATTCTGAACTTTTTTTTCA